ATTTAAATGTACATCAGAAGATGCCCAGATGCTCTTGACAGAAATACGTTTGTATGCACAAGCTGCAGGGAAAGAGGTATTGATCAAAATTGTAAAGATAATTAAGTCAGTAATTTTTAGGAACTTTCTATTTAGAGTCAAAATAAATGCTTTAACAGATACTATTACTTTGACATTATTGAGCTATCAAATTAAGTTTAGGGCTACAGCTGCACAGACACAGAATTCCCGGGTTTCAACTATGCAGTGATACCAATATTGCAGTCACATCACACACTCGAAAATGAATAAAATCACTCAGCACCTTGTCGGAAGTGGGATGGTTGTATATATAAATGAGAAAGAAATATAGCTGTATTTGTCAAAGGCTGAACACGTTTGGATGCTAAAACTATGTGGTAGTGGACGTCGGAAGTGATATATGGAACTAACACCAATTCACAGCGCAGGAGATATTTTAGCATAATGAAGAAGTTATTGGTTTACCATAACGCCGCCCGCCCAGAATTTAACAGGAACGGATATCAACACCTAACCAAAAGGACATACATGAGAAGGAAGTATCAATAGATGGCTACAGAAGTAGGCATACGCGTTCGGAACTCATGTTTCTTCATTGTTTGACGAAAAGAACACCACCTGATTTGAAATTTAGTCGGCCGACGGCGTGTAGGGGTCTTTCTAGCGAGCTCCGTAACGGAACAAATATTAGAATAAAAATCCAAGTTAATGAAATGTTAGTGTAACAGTATGCTGTAAAAAATACATTGATGAGTTTTATAAATTAATTGGTTACTTGGTTATAAAGTACACTGCTACAAATTAGTAACATAATCCACAATAGTGTTCACTGAGTGCGTCGGTGGCACAGCGGTATAATGCTCGCCGACCACTCATGTGGTCCGAGGTTCGATCCCCGGCCGACACACTCCTTCACCTCGCTAAGCCAGTAATAATACTCGTGAAGATTGGAGGTTGGGCATGAGGCTAGCAGCCCCATTCCGTAAAAATAATATCACTGTTACCGAGACTTCAGATCTCTAAATTGCAGCCATATATTCCACTGGGAACTTAAGGAAATAAAAGGAAAATAAGTGTTCACTGCTGGAGTCGTGTCTGCTGATAGAAGCTGTGCGCCGGTTGTAGAATAGTCTTCGAGTGAGGATAAGAAGTTCCGGCAAAATCCAAAGTATAAAACACGGTCAGTAATGAGGCAAGTAGACATTATAGACTGAAGAGAAGATAAGACGCCTAGAAGCACACTGTATTTTAGATTTTTCTCCGCAGTTACCGATATTCCAACATGAATCATTTCAAACAAAAGTCGTGTACAGTGTTTCTAATTTCAGCATTTAACAAAAGAATGTACAATCGTATTGTTAGATCCTCCAAGGCGTAAAGTCTAGATGTGTGGTCACACAACAAGGAATGATTTCTTTAAAAATACAGTGAATTTATCAAACAAAGAGATACAGAATGGAAATAATTGACTGAGATGGAGTGGAATATAGAGTTTGAAAAGTTAATTTCATCTGTTGGTCTGCCAGTTTAGTAGATGAAAGGTATCGATGGGTACGCAAGATGTGCTGCATGCAAATGCAAGTGTTTATTCGCCAAATCCCAAAGTACCTGTTCTGCAAAGACTAAAGACATTACGAAACAAGAAATTGATCCTCATCAGAAGTGCAGAACGGTGATGATTGGTTAACTAACTAGGGTTCTTACAGGAGTGAGCGAAATTAGGACTACAATTTGCTAAATGGGGTTGATGCTTGACTCTCAGATCTTCAACTAAAAGGGGGTTAGTACCCAGTGTCGAATGAAGAGCACTTTAGACTTATTATTTACGGGGACTATTTTCTTCGGTAGACTAGTGAGAGGCTACAATCATCGTGGAGTTAGTCGTTCCACAGATTACTCCGGTCCTGGTACCGAAACACACACTAATTCTATAGAAGCTTTCCGGCGTATGATACAAAGCCAGATACGTACAATGAATGGGACACTACATGACATTATTTGTAGATATCTCGATGAAAAATACGTAGAAATTGACTAAATTTCAGTAATAACACACCTAACCTAAAATAGCATGTATATTGAAGTCATGTAGAGGAAAATACCCTGTTTTGTTGTGGTGCTCTTTTAAATCAAACTTGCGTAGACGTATATCCCAGTACTTCTTCGCGTTATTATTGTGTCCTAAAGTTGTGATTCCTCAACATCCACAAGCTAAATCGAAAGGCGATTGAGAAGGAGTAAGAATGTGTATTAACGCAGTAATACAAATTCAAAAGTTAAGCGAGTATAAAAGTACCAATTGTAACACAAATCAGAATCCAATTACATAGTGAAAGTATACTGCAAAGATGAGTAATAAAATGGGTCACTACAGTATAACACCTTCCTATTATTTAATTTCATTGAAGTATACGCCATTTTTACCAATGAAAGCCTACATTTCATTTGTTAGATGACTCAAGGTGGAGAAAAACAATAAACTAACCAATAATTTGAGATTCCAGTACGACGGATTCCAAGCGCGAGTGAGTTACCGATGTGCGCACAAATTCAGTATATTCTCCTTGTCTAAAATTCTCAAGAAAAGTATTAATTCACAGTGCATCATATAGCGCAATGCCGTTCGATATGTAGTTGTTATAATTATTTTTAATAGTAGTATTTTGCGATGAGCGAATTACAAGAAATCAACCGAAAGCACAGAGAGGGATGTATTTAGGAATTTATATTTGGCAGAATTATATGTATTTCATATAATAAACATTAACAAACAACAGTAACTGTTTAAACAATAAAGTAATGTAAATTATCAATCACCACATTAGTATAAACCAATCCCTTATGACCTTTTTCCTCCGCCTTCGAGACCTACACAACGGTGGGTTGAAAGACAGTTAAAGACATACGTGAGCATATTTCGGGGACCAAGAATACAATTGAGTGATTAAAACAATATGAGATAGAAAAAATATAACACATTATGTTGAATGAAAATTTAGGTAGCCAAGTGGTTCAAGAAGGCCACCAGTCAGCCATCTGAAGAACACCATATTCATTAAAGTAAGTGTTGAACGGATTGTAAGCATGTTATAATAATAATAATAATAATAATAATTTTTATTTCTGTAACAGAAACCAGCCATTTTTACAGGCATGAACATATGTACATTTATGAAAACTTATAGAATATATAATATGATTTGTTAATTTAGAAATAAGTTGAATACTGGTAAATGTGAGAGAAACATTTAAAATGAAGTGTACAAATGAGGAAATAGATATAGCGTCAAATCTAAACTGTGATTGAAAAAAAAATACATGTCAATTTCACGCGGGAACCATAAATGGTTGCGTTAGTTGAGGAAGGTAAGTGGCATTTCTGTACAGGTGCTGACGTATTACATAAGAGATGCAGAATAAACAATAACTATCAGTAAATCATTCAGAAAGAGCTTTAAAGTCTATTAAACTTTAAATTTACCCGTAAGTACATCATATTTGTGACATTTCCAGTTGTTTATGAGACCCACTTTGAACTTGTCAGCAGATTTTATAATACCGATGATCCCGTTATTCACCAGATGAGCTAGCAATATCACGAATAAGTAGAGAAAGCAGTATGTTTGAAAAGAGAAGAAGACACAAGAAAACCAGCAGACAGGTGCAGATCTGCACCTTCAGTATTTAAAAGGTGTTAATAATTCAAAATATATAACAGGCATGGGGTTTATCGTTTTTTATTGTTTTTTTTTCAGGAAATATTATTTTCCCGATATTTTACAGTCTCTTCTGCGAACAATTAGTTTAAAGTGAAAGACAGGTGATAATTTCACCTACTTACGAGGTTTAAAAGGAGTAAAACACAAAAGTCAGAGTGCGTGAGCTATGTAAAAGAAAAGCGAGGGCCTAGTAATGTATGTTTTTCTGAAGTATACAGTTCGGTGTCCTTCTGAAGTAGCGGACTCATACCATTTACTTTCATTCGGGAGTTTGCGTCTAAACTTCGGCTCTAGGCAATTTTCAACTAATATTTCTTTTTTCATCATTTTTTTTTATATTTTTAGTTTTTGTTTATTCTCATTTTGAAGAAGCCATCCGAACTCAGGAGCCATAGCAATAGAGTGCTGTCCCACAGATAAGGGTGGTTCACATATGTCCCCACCATCATATCCGCTGACTAGCAGTCACCACCCTCCCACCTTTTTTGTGCAAGGCCCTGTCGGAATGCTTCATTTTTTTAAAATTATTTATTTATTTTTTAAAATTTCTGTTGCAAAATGCCACAAACTTTTTGTTTGTCCAGCTATTTATTCGTCGACTTACTCAAACTTATGGTATGAATGACTACTTTCAGAAGAACATCATGTATGTTTCATCTTTTACAGCATTTTGAAGACGAAAAATGTAAGAAAGAAAGGCTATCTGAGACTTCATTTTAGATATAAACAAATGTAGTTTAGAAAATCGGGGAACAATCGTGCAGCATTGAGGAAATAAGCAGTGATAAGTTATAATATGTTGTTCTAGAAAATTTGAACATACAGGATTATAGTAATAGAATAGTAAGATAAGATTCATTTTAGATATAAACAAATGTAGTTTAGAAAATCAGGGAATAATCGTGCAGCATTGAGCAAATAACCAGTGATAAGTTATAATATGTTGTTCTAGAAAATTTGAACATACAGGATTATAGTAATAGAATAGTAAGATAAGATTCATTTTAGATATAAACAAATGTAGTTTAGAAAATCAGGGAGTAATCGTGCAGCATTGAGCAAATAACCAGTGATAAGTTATAATATGTTGTTCTAGAAAATTTGAACATACAGGATTATAGTAATAGAATAGTAAGATAAGATTCATTTTAGATATAAACAAATGTAGTTTAGAAAATCAGGCGTGCAGCTGAGGCAGTGTAAGTTATAATATGTTGTTCTAGAAATTTGAACATACAGGATATGAAAAAATAAGCAGTGTAAGTTATAATATGTTGTTCTAGAAAATTTGAACATACAGGATTATAGTAATAGAATAGTAAGATAAGATTCATTTTAGATATAAACAAATGTAGTTTAGAAAATCAGGGAGTAATCGTGCAGCATTGAGCAAATAACCAGTGATAAGTTATAATATGTTGTTCTAGAAAATTTGAACATACAGGATTATAGTAATAGAATAGTAAGATAAGATTCATTTTAGATATAAACAAATGTAGTTTAGAAAATCAGGGAGTAATCGTGCAGCATTGAGGAAATAAGCAGTGGTAAGTTATAATATGTTGTTCTAGAAAATTTGAACATACAGGATTATAGTAATAGAATAGTAAGATAAGATTCATTTTAGATATAAACAAATGTAGTTTAGAAAATCAGGGAGTAATCGTGCAGCATTGAGCAAATAACCAGTGATAAGTTATAATATGTTGTTCAAGAAAAGTTGAACAGAGAAGATTATAGTTATAGAATAATAGGATAAGAAAATTCACCGTTTATTTGAATATTTAGACAACTACCATTTTGGCCTTAATTTGCGTAGAGCTAGACGTATAGCACTAGGCAGGCTCTGGAGATATTTTAATACCAGTCGTCTTCAGTTGATTTGCATCTGGAATTTGAGATTGAACCTTAGCATACTGAAATACTCATAATACAATATTATCAGGGATATATGCAAAAATATTTGAAGGAAATTAAAAAAAAGTTTAAAATTTAAGGCTGATTAAGAATAGGTGTCTAGGGTTGTGAAAGCAATCATAGTGAAAGTGACTGTCACACATAGGGTTTACAGATTTCAGGAGCTAACAGTGAGGATCAGAGGAGTGCCGTATTAGATCTCTAATTTTTAGTTTGTCACATACCCCTTCTAACCCGTTGTTAATGAAATATTTGTTCAGCAAAGATGAGAAAGTTTTTGGGGTAGGACTGTCTCTAATTTCAGTTGGAAGACGGTTCCAAATGCAACGGTATCTCACAGTGAAAGAGTTTGATCTGTATTTTGTATGACAGCGGGGAACTTTAAAAGAAGAAGATTTATTTCTCAGGTTATATTTCTTAGGTGAACTGAAAGTAAAGTCATTGTGGGGGAAATATATAAGCCCTTTGGCAATCCTAAATGTAATTTTTAGGTTGAACTTCAGTCGTCTAACCCATAAGGGTTCCAAGTCGAATAGATTGCATCTGTCATAGTAAGAGATGCAAAGATTATCACCTACTAGACGTTTAGTAAACGCCCTTTGTAGACTTTCTAATTTGCATCTGTCTTTTAAGGAGACACTGTCCATGATAGGGGGACAAAATTCAAGTAAGGGCCTTACGCACAACTTGTACAGCATTATTTTGGATTCACTGGTCTTAAAGTTTCGGAATAAAAATCCAAAGAGCCTTTTGACCTTTGATACTTGTAATTTAACGTATTCAGCCAGGCTAAATTCTGGAGTGTATTTCAGACCCAAGTCTGTTGTAAGCGGCAGACGAGGAATATGTTTGTTGTGTAGGGAGATGGAAAGTTCAGATGAAATGCTTTTGGAGCATAGCACACCACATTTTTCAACGTTAAACTTCATTTTCCATGTGTTACACCATAATTGGACGCTCTCAATATCATCTTGAATCCTACTAAATACACATGACACTTCATTTCTGAGTGAGTGATACACTATTTTGATGTCATCGGCGAATAGGAAAGGTCTGCCATGTTTAATAACGTCGCAAATGTCATTGAAATATAACAGGAATAGCAGTGGACCTAGGACACTACCTTGTATAACTCCACTTGTTATCCGAACGGGGTTGGATGTGTGGGAACCTAACCTGACCATCTGCATCCGGTTGCTTAGAAACGAACTGAGCCAGCTTAACAATGAACCCTGTATCCCATAGGACTGGACTTTTGATATTAACAGTCGGTGGCTTACAGTGTCAAAGGCTTTACTAAGATCTAAGTATACGACAACTGTGATCATACTGGAATCGATGGGTACGCAAGATGTGCTGCATGCAAATGCAAGTGTTTATTCGCCAAATCCCAAAGTACCTGTTCTGCAAAGACTAAAGACATTACGAAACAAGAAATTGATCCTCATCAGAAGTGCAGAACGGTGATGATTGGTTAACTAACTAGGGTTCTTACAGGAGTGAGCGAAATTAGGACTACAATTTGCTAAATGGGGTTGATGCTTGACTCTCAGATCTTCAACTAAAAGGGGGTTAGTACCCAGTGTCGAATGAAGAGCACTTTAGACTTATTATTTACGGGGACTATTTTCTTCGGTAGACTAGTGAGAGGCTACAATCATCGTGGAGTTAGTCGTTCCACAGATTACTCCGGTCCTGGTACCGAAACACACACTAATTCTATAGAAGCTTTCCGGCGTATGATACAAAGCCAGATACGTACAATGAATGGGACACTACATGACATTATTTGTAGATATCTCGATGAAAAATACGTAGAAATTGACTAAATTTCAGTAATAACACACCTAACCTAAAATAGCATGTATATTGAAGTCATGTAGAGGAAAATACCCTGTTTTGTTGTGGTGCTCTTTTAAATCAAACTTGCGTAGACGTATATCCCAGTACTTCTTCGCGTTATTATTGTGTCCTAAAGTTGTGATTCCTCAACATCCACAAGCTAAATCGAAAGGCGATTGAGAAGGAGTAAGAATGTGTATTAACGCAGTAATACAAATTCAAAAGTTAAGCGAGTATAAAAGTACCAATTGTAACACAAATCAGAATCCAATTACATAGTGAAAGTATACTGCAAAGATGAGTAATAAAATGGGTCACTACAGTATAACACCTTCCTATTATTTAATTTCATTGAAGTATACGCCATTTTTACCAATGAAAGCCTACATTTCATTTGTTAGATGACTCAAGGTGGAGAAAAACAATAAACTAACCAATAATTTGAGATTCCAGTACGACGGATTCCAAGCGCGAGTGAGTTACCGATGTGCGCACAAATTCAGTATATTCTCCTTGTCTAAAATTCTCAAGAAAAGTATTAATTCACAGTGCATCATATAGCGCAATGCCGTTCGATATGTAGTTGTTATAATTATTTTTAATAGTAGTATTTTGCGATGAGCGAATTACAAGAAATCAACCGAAAGCACAGAGAGGGATGTATTTAGGAATTTATATTTGGCAGAATTATATGTATTTCATATAATAAACATTAACAAACAACAGTAACTGTTTAAACAATAAAGTAATGTAAATTATCAATCACCACATTAGTATAAACCAATCCCTTATGACCTTTTTCCTCCGCCTTCGAGACCTACACAACGGTGGGTTGAAAGACAGTTAAAGACATACGTGAGCATATTTCGGGGACCAAGAATACAATTGAGTGATTAAAACAATATGAGATAGAAAAAATATAACACATTATGTTGAATGAAAATTTAGGTAGCCAAGTGGTTCAAGAAGGCCACCAGTCAGCCATCTGAAGAACACCATATTCATTAAAGTAAGTGTTGAACGGATTGTAAGCATGTTAAACATGATATCTGATTAGTTTCAGGTTGAATTAAAGAAACAGTAGTTTGAGGGTTTGTTTAAGGAAAGGCTGGGGTTGGTTTGGGATGCACTATGTTTAGGTTTGGGTGCGACTAGGATTAGAGTTAGGTAATTTGGAAATTAAGATAAGTTTAAGGTTGTATTATGGAGAGGTTAGTGTTATGATTGAGTAATTGTTGCTAAAATGAGTTGTTACTGGATTTATTCACCACAAGGTCATTGGCTTATTTGTTCCTTACGCGTTGCTATTGTTTCTGCCTTTGTGGAAACTGTCTACATCTGTTGCGAACAGCTATTCTTTATTACGTATCCTCACCATACACAGTTCAAGGTGACACTTCTATCGGCTGACGCTTCTTCGCCATACTTCGTACTTTCAAATTTCAGATTCACCAAAATTACACCTGCGGAAATGGGAGAATTTCTTACCACACTTAACTTACGTCTCCCTTGACCTGTTGAGGTTACTAAGAATACTTTGTTTCAAGTTGAGCATGATAGAATTGACTCAATTATAAAGGTAAACAATGATAATTATACTTATTCTCATTGTATTGAAAGTGAGGGGAGGCAGTTTACAGGCATCACCACTCGTCTTGTATTGAAGGTAATGATCGTTTTTTGGGCGATGACATTATCCCTTTACAAAACACTTAATTCAACTTGTTTAGAAGAGGAGAAGGGTTACTCTGTGAGCTTTAAAATGCTGGTTTTACAAATAAAATCCATATGAATAAAATATGACGGGGATTTTAAGGAATGCAGAAGGTAGTTTCGTAATCACATAATGTAGAGGTTTATATGTGTCCTGCGAAAGAATCACGAGATCTTTAAGAGGTTAGGTGCCTCCCCTTCAACTCTAACTGAACGCTTATAAAAGCAGTTCATGTGCCCATAATGTACCTTTACAAAAATGTGGTGACTGACAATTTCTCTCTCTGTATGGCTTAAGTACTTAATGTTGATTGCTAATATGTTTCATATATGAATTGCATTATAATTCCGCTAAATACAAACAAATGAATCCCGCCCTCTCTGTCTTTTGTTTGGTTTCTTGTAATTCGGTCATCTTGAAATATTGATACTACGATTACAATAAATTACTACAAATCGGCGTCGCGATGGAAATAAATAACCTGGCACAATTTCCTCTAAAAGGTTCTCCGCGCGAAATTGCTGATTATTTTGAACGCTTCGATGCGTGGTGCATGTCGAAGAATGTTCGGGATGACAAAATTTCAGCTCATTTTATTATTGCTATTGCGCTAGATGCGTATAGCCTGGTGAAGACTCTGTCGATTCCAGATAAACCAATTTCTACGCCATATGATAAACTCCGTGAACTTCTAATAGATCACTTCCACATAACAACTTTCGAAACACGAGAAAGGGCTCAGTTCAACAAACTTGTTCGTGCTCCCAACCAGAAGATTAGAGACTTCATTCTTCAGCTTCAGATACAAGCTTCAAAGTGCAACTTTGGAGATCAGCTGCATACTCAACTACGTGATCGTCTAATTGCTGGAATCAATATTCCTAAGTTAGAGAAAGAGTTAATTCAGATTCCTTCTTGTACCTTTCAAACTGCTAAAGATTTATGTATTACATATGAAGATGTCAACAATGAATACTCTGCTCCCACCACGTCAGTATCTGATGTCATGCTTTCTAAAGTCGAAAATACAAGTGGTCATGGAAAGCAATCCAAACTGCCGTCCACAGGTAATAGAATGCAGCGAGAGATCAAAAACATTAAACCGTGTTTTTCCTGTGGAAAGTTACATCTACGAAGCACTTGCCGTTTTCGGGGTGCTAAGTGTCACAAATGTGGTAAAGTTGGACACATTAAGACTGTTTGCAGAAGTTCGAATACTTATGTTACTCAGAATTCTTATAATTCTCCCAATCTGTCTAGTAAAATGGAGTCAATGTGTCTTTCAACTTTTCAAAATACTCAATCTCATCCAATTAAAACCTCCACTACAAGTTCAGCAACTCAAGCGTCAACTGTTTCCAAAAATGAGGTAGCCGAGTTACAATGCGAACTGTCGAAAACACGAGAAGAACTGAATGAGATGAGAGAGCAACTGATTAAAATGGAGGAATTGTTGCACATACATAGACTGCGTCTGTTGAATGCAGAGCCTACCCGTGAAAGTCCTGCAAAACTTTTCAAATCTCGAATTCTCAAAAAGCATCTGATGTCCACGACTTCTAATGTACATTATTACAAAGGGAATGACTACAGACCCTCTGTTGGAATTATACTACAAAAAATGGGAAATCGAGTGGTGAAGATATTAGACATCAAAGATCACTCAGTTGTATGACGCTCGTTCCTGCTGACGTGGAAGTGATATCTTTAGCTCGTTCATGTGTCGTTTTAGCTGGTGCACGTAACCAGTCATATCGTGTGGAACTTCGTTACCCGGGGTGAAAAATTCTCCTGAAATCGTAATGTTGTTCCATAGACTAGTTCGGAAACACAGCAGCCAATATCTTTCTTTATAGCAGCTCGTATACCAAGTAATACTAGTGGAAGTTTGGTTGACCAATCGTTTTGAGTCAAAGAAGCAGCTAGCGCAGCTTTGAGTCGTCGATGAAATCGTTCGACCATACCGTTGGAACTAGGATGATACGCTGTCGTTCGTATTCGTTTAATGCCTAGTAATTCAGTTAGTTGGTCAAAAAGTTGGCTTTCAAACTGACCACCTCTGTCTGTACTGATAATTGATGGGACACCAAAGTTGGCTATCCAGTTTGCGACTAAGGCTTTAGCTACCGTTTCAGCTGAGACGTCGATTAATGGAACTGCTATTGGCCAACGAGTAAATCTGTCAATGCAGGTTAGAATATAGTTGAAGCCATTGGAAGGAGGCAGTAGACCAACTGTGTCTACATGTACATGGTCAAATCTAGAGTCGGGGTTAGGGAGGCGACCAAGTGGTGCATTGGTGTGCCGGTTGATTTCGACTCTTTGACACGACGAGCAATTTCGTGTCCACTTCTTAACATCGCTGTTAGTGTTTGGCCAGACAAATCCTTCTCTTAGTAGCTTGGTAGTAGCGCTTACACCAGGATGCGACAAGTTATGTAACTTCTCGAATACCGTATGTCTCATAGCTATTGGAACGAAAGGTCGGTATTTATCTGTAGAGGTGTCGCAGATAACTTTTGTCGTGCCAAAATGAATTGCCTCGAGGTTTAGAGATGTTGTTTTAGAAGACATGATCTTTTTGAGTTTGACGTCCTCTCGTTGTGAGTTTGTGAGACGTTCGTAGTCGATGTCTGGGCATACAATGTTATCAATGTGCATACGTGGCAAAGCTTCTGCCACTTCATCGTTTTTACCCTTGACTTGTCGCAGATCGGAGTTCACTTGAGATATATATTCGAGATGTCGTATTTCGCGCGGAGAGTAATTACCCTGCTTTGCAGATAAAGCTTTCGTTGGAGCTTTGTGGTCTGTTGATCGGAAAGATGGTTGTAGAATGTCAGGAAACTGATCTGCCGAGTCGGTATATTGAGGTGCTGGTGTACGTGTGACCATCAAGTTCAACGATGA